GAGCAATCATGTCAGTCTGGAGACTAAGGTGCGCCTGATACAGGCCATGGTCTTTGCAATTACTTGCTATGCATCAGAGAACTGGACAATGACTAGGGATGATAGAGAATTGATGCCTTTGAGCTGTGGTGCTGGAAAAGAGTATTGAATATACCATGGACTATTAAGAGAATGAACAGGTTTGTCCTAGAGAGGGTTAAACCAGGCTGCTCCTTGGAGGCAAGGATTCTGAAGCTTCATTTGACATAATTTGGACATATTGAAAGGAGGTATCAGTCCTTGGAGAGGGACATCATGCTTGGGAGGGTGGAGGAACAGCGCAGGAGAGGAAGACCCTCAATGACATGGATTTATACAGTGACTGGAGTAATGGGGGTAAGTGTATCAGAGACAATAAAATTGGCACAAGATAGAGCAGGTTTTAGGGCTGTTATACATAGGGTCACTATGAGTCACAGGCGACTTTATGGCACATAACAACAGCAACCACTGATTCACAATTATGCTACACCTCAAAGAGCTGGATGCCAACTAATTCTTTTTAGTACATTGACTTTGTGTATTCCTTCCATTTTCTTTTTATGCTTCTTGCATCATTATTGAATATTTTCTCCATAAGATTCTTAAATATTAAAACTTGAAGCTTAAAAAAAAAACAAAAAAAAAAACCTTGAAGCTTGATTTTTTTTTCAGTTCTTTCAGCTTGAGAAATGCCGACTGTATTCTTCCCTTTTGGTATTCTAACTCCAGTTCTTTGCACATTTTGTTATAATACTTTGCTTTGTTCTCTCAAGCTGCCCTTTGAAATCTTTTATTCAGCGCTTTTATTTCATCATTTCTTGTCTTCATTTTGGCTTCTCTAAGTTAAAAAGTACGTTTCAGAGTCTTCTGGCATCCATTTAACCTTCTTTTCCTGTCTTTTTAATGGCATTTTTACTTCCCTCACAGATGAGGGAAGTAAAAATGGTCTTTGGCAAATGAAATTTGTTCTTAAAATGATTTTTAATTTTTAAAAAGAAGAAAATAATTTTTAATTTCAGGTGGGATAAATTCAAGACCATTGGGATATTTGGATTTGTTTACATTTTCTTCAGCTTGATTTTGCAGGTACATATGAACAATTTTGGTAGGACAGTTGGCTTTGTTCTCACTGATGATAATAATCTTTTCCACCAATTCTTTCTACAGATGTAGTCAGTTTGATTCCTGTGTATGCCATCAGGCAAAGTCCATTCATGGTATTGATAAAAGGGATTTGCACTAAGTCGTTGGTCTTGTGAAATTCTATCATTTGATCTCCATTCATTTCTATCACCATCCCCTTTTTTTCACCTGTTTATCCTTTATTTCTTAAGTGTCTATCTTTCACACTGAAATATTGGGCTATTATTGTTAAGTGCTGTCGAGTCGTAGGCAACTCAGCAACCAAACGAAAGACCTGGACACTTGTATAACTTTCATCTTTTCTCCAGGTTCATAGGGTTTCCGGAGGCAAATTGTTTTGGAAGTGGATGCCACTCCTGCTTCCAGGCTTGTTTTAATTGGGGAGCTCCACCAAACACTGTCCACCATGGGTAACCATTCTTGCATTTGACACATCAGTGTCACAGTGTTCAGCTTCATAGCCACCACGAGTTACCTCTGTACAACAAGTGGACAGACCAGGGCTATACAACCTAGAAGAATGTTTGACCAAAAACAATTAAAAACAAGCCTGAGGGCCGCGGATTAGAGTTACCCACCTTTGGCTTGGTAGCATCACTTTCTTTCCACTAAGCCAACTGATCTCTCTCTATGCTGTTGTTGTTATTGTTAAGTGCCATCTGAAATAGGATAAATATTTTACCTCCATATTCGAGGCCTAGCATAGTGATTGAAAAAACCCGAATTATGGGTGGACTAAGTGAGTACCCTGCCTGCACACTTACAGGAACAAAGCAGAGGCTAGAACTAAGATAATTTTATTCCTCATCAATTATGTTTTCTACAGAACTGACTTGAATATATAGTACATTACACCTCAACATAAAAAAAAAAAACAAAAATCCTTATCACAAGGCTAATAGGTGACATAATGGAGAAAAGATTGAAGCAGTCAACCATTTCATTTTATTTGGACTTAAAAACAACACTCAAGGTAGCTGTAGTCCAGAAATAAAGATATGTTGCATTGGAAAAATCAGACAAGGACCTCTTTAAAGTGCTGCTTTTGTGTTTAAAGTACTAAAGATTTGTCTCCCTTTGGACATGTTATCAGGAGGAGCTAGTTTTTAGAAAAAGAGGTGATGCTTGGAAAAAATAGAGGATCAGCAAGGATATCAGTTTAAAGACTAAGGCGCATCTGATCCAAGCCATGGTATTTTCTATTGCTTCATATGCATCTGAAAGTCAGACAATGAATAGAAAGACTGAAGAAGAACTGATGCCTTTGAATTGGTAATGGTGAAGAGTATCAAACAATCCATGAATTGACAAAAGAACAAACTAATCTCTTGGAAGAAGTACAACCAGGATGCTCCTTAGAGACAAGGATAGTGAAATATTATCATGGGTTTGGTTAGTTTTTTTAGCATGTTTTTAGGATGGGTCAGTCTGGAAAAAGACATCATTATGGAAAAGGTGGAGGGTCAGAGAAAGAGAGGAAGATTCTTAAAGAAATAGGTTGACACAATGATTACCACAACGAATTTGAGTATGAGAGGGATCAAGAGGTATAAGATAGGGCAAGGTCTAGATCTGTTATTCATAATATGGTCACTAGGAATGGTAATTGCCTCCACTAACACCTAACAATAACAGGAATATACTATGGATTGCCAATAGACCAAGACTATTTTGGAAGAAGTACAGCCAGAATCTAACCCTAACCCTTGAAAGCAAGGATAGTGAGACTTGTCTGTCATACTTTTTCTATCAGGACTAGTTTTTGGGAAAAGACCTCATACTTGAAAAAGTAGAGTCCTTGCACACCCATGTTTATTGTGGCTTTGTTCCACAATAGCAAAGAGCTGGAAACAACCCAAGTGCCCATCAACAAATGAATGGATAGAGAAGCTCTGGCATATTCACACAATACTACACTGCATTGAAAAACAAGAAACTCATGAAATATGCAAAATGGATGACCTTGAAGGACATTATGCTGAGTGAAATATATCAGCAGAAAAGGACAAATACTGCATAGGGCCACTGTTGTAAAACAGACTGACATCAGGGTTGAGGTAAGACAGAGAAGGAAGGAATGAATGATGTATATTGCTTTGAAACAGATGAGGGAGAGAACTGTTTAAAAGGGATATGTGAATGTTCTTGACATTACAGAAGTCCAGAGTGAAGGCTATATAGTGGAGTGGACTTGAGGGGAGGGATTGCATAACAATGAAAGAGTTTTTCTTTTCAAGGAGAAGAGTGAATTGAGGGGGAAGGGGTGGGCAGGGAGAAAAGTGCAATAATGAATGACTGGAAACCCCAAGTCTCTGTAAACTTTCATTAAAATTAATAAAAGAAAAAAAGAAAAGTAGAGCCTTGGAGTGGGACAGGAAGACCCTTCATGAATGAGCTGAATTATAGTGGAAGTGACTGGAACAATCTATCCAAACACAGCAGAGACTGTGATGATGGTGAAAGATTAGGCAGTGAAAGTTCTGCTGTCCATAACTCAGAGAGTAACGATGAGGCAGCATCTTTACTATTGTCTTCTTTTTCTGAGAAAGGTTTGAGTCAAGGTTTTATCCTTTCTCTACACCTATTCGATCTGCTGAGCAAATTATTCAAGATGCTGGACTCTGGAAAAGAATGTGGCACCAGAATTCAAGGAAGACTCATCAATAAGCTACATCATGCAGACTCACAACCTTGCTTGCTGGAAAATCAGGACTGAAGCACTTGTTACAGATGATCAGCAAATACAGCCTTTGCTATGGATTGCATCTCAACATCAAGAACAAAAAATTCTTAATAGACAATATCATAATAGATGGAGAAAAGATTGAAACTGTCAACAATGTCCTCTTCCTTGGATCCACAATTAACGCAACAGGAAACGTAGTGCGTTGGAAAAGTCTGCGGTTAGAGGCCTGTCCAAATTATTGAGGAGCAATGATATTTGTTTGAAAACTATAAGGTGCACCTAATTCAGGCCATGGTCTTTTCAATCACTTGCTATGCTGCTGAGATCTGGATAATAAGGATAACCGAAGAACTGATGGTGTTTGAGTTATGGTTTTGGAGAAGAGTGCTAAATATCCCGTGGCTGCCAAAAGAATAGTCTTATCCATCAGATACTCTGCGGAGAAGGGCAGTCTCCTCCTGAACCAGTCGGACCTGATTTGACGGTACACACACACACACACACACACACACACACACACACACACGAATAAACAGTCTGGTTAGGCTATTCCTTGGACAGGGACATCATGATCAGAAAAGTGGAGGGTCGGTGAAAGACAGGAAGACCCTCAACCAGGTGGACTGTACACACACACACACACACACACACACACACACACACACACGAATAAACAGTCTGGTTAGGCTATTCCTTGGACAGGGACATCATGATCAGAAAAGTGGAGGGTCGGTGAAAGACAGGAAGACCCTCAACCAGGTGGACTGACACAATGACTGCAGCTATGGGCGAAAGTATGTCAAAGATTGTGAGAACAGCCCAGGATACGACAGGGTTCAGACCTGCCGTTAATAGATAGGGTCACCAAGTTTCGTACTTCACAAGTTCGTTTTCTACACCCTTTCTTCAAGCCAAACTTAAAACTCTTCACCTGGCAAGTCTTAGAAGGAGCCCCCCTCTGCTTGATCTTTGGTGCGCGTGCGCATGGCCTTGTCACTCCCGTCTACAGTCAACACGAGCGAAGCTCTTTCCTCCAACAGCTAGTTCTTGCCGCGCGTGCGCAAGAAGAAGGACTTAATCCCGCGGCGCCTGCGCTCTGACGTATTTAGCTCAGTGGATGGAAAAACGGGCCTACAAAAGTCATACCCGGAAGCAGAGTGCCGGAAGTGGGGCTGGACAGGTTACCCTCAGGGGTGGGGAAGCGGAGGCCCTGGAGGAGGGCAAAAAAAGGCGAAGGATCCCGGTCTCTACTCTGAATCTGACGCCGAATCTCTCGGATCTCGAGCCACAGAAAAAAAGAAAGGGTGTCTCATCCACCTTCCTCCTCGCCACCCTCCCTTCGGCCTTAGCCATGGCGGAGGCAGGGGCTGGGCTGAGTGAGACCGTCACTGAGACAACGGTTACCGTGACAACTGAGCCTGTGAGAAAGACGGGGGGTGGAGGGTGCTGTTGAGGGGTCTGGGAGGCAGGGGAGAAGGCATTGGAAGTTGCTCCGGGGATTGCGCTTGGAGATATGGGAGGAGTGGAATTGACTATCTGGGGTTTGGCAAATCACAAGGTACTGAGTGAGGATAACTGGATGGTATAGGAAGCTACTCAAGGGACTTGTAATGGCAGAGAATTAGGATATGGATCCTACTGCTTGGAGTGGTGGTGATGGTGTAACTAAGTAATGAAAGCATGGAGGCTAAGGAGCAAGCGAGGTGCAGAGACGGGATACGAAGAGCTATGTAAGAAAGCATGGTTAGAGTCAGTTTGTAAGAGAATTCAACCTGAAGCGTCCTTAATATCTTTTTAAATTGATGAATGTAATGGGTCATGAAGAGAATAAGGGAACAGAAGAAAAAGAGAGGAGGAATTTTCTGAGTATGGACATATGAGGAGAAAGAAGTAGCATTTTTGCAAAAATAGATTGCTCTCAGAGGACGATTACATTGGCTTTAAACCTCTGTATTAAAGATGTTTAGGATAGTAGTATCAGGCCCAGAATGCTAGGGAATAAATGGAAGATTGGAAGGTCTGAACTTCGAGATAAGAAGGGCAAGAATGATTTTTAATGAAAAAAATGTAATTGGAATCTGGGTTAAGAGAAGGAGATTAATGAGTAGGCATTAAGAGACAGGAAATAATTTTCATCTATTTGGGAAGAACATAATAGATACAATGAAGATTATATTTTCCTTTCTGTACACTACTAGATATTGAAAATAAGAAATTATATTTCACTGCTTCTCAGAGCTAAAGACCTGTTTTATTTGACCTTTTTTCAGCATTCAACTTCTCTATTGTTATACTTATGGTCCTGATAGTTGGGGGAGGGATGAAAAGAGGCTCTTGGGATGGTGGAGGAATGGTCAGTATCAGAGGAGTAGATAGGTATGCCCATTCCTTTTAACCTTTCAGGAGAACCGGAGCCTAACCATCAAACTACGGAAACGGAAGCCAGAGAAAAAGGTGGAATGGACAAGTGACACTGTGGACAATGAACACATGGGACGCCGCTCATCAAAATGTGAGTAACTGTGTGCTCTAATTAGGCCTGGAGTCCTGGCTCTCCTCTGCAAATCCATCTTTCATCTACTGGCCTCCAGATATTCTTGATCTGTCATTGCCTTGGTGGTTCATTGGCATTAGAGGAAGGAAGCTAACAACAAAGAAGCAGGGAGGGGACTAGAACCTGGTATGCACCTAGGCCTGAAGGCAAGAGGTAGAGATGTTGGAGAAATGGACCTCTGGATTCCTGGCTTTCGGAAAGAAGAGTCCAGGCATGAGGGTTGTGTCCCTCAGTCCAAAAGGGCAGAGCTGAGAAAGCTGGATTCTGCCAGGTAGGAGGAGGACTTGGGATTTTTCATGGATATTCAGTGGGAATGGCATTGACTCAACATCTTACTCTTCCTTCTTTTTAACTGGGCTCCTCCTCCACTTCCAAATACAGGCTGCTGTATTTATGAGAAACCTCGGGCCTTTGGCGAGAGCTCCACGGAGAGCGATGAGGAGGAAGACGAGGGCTGTGGTCATACACACTGTGTCCGGGGCCACCGCAAAGGACGGCGTCATGCTTCCCAGGGACCGACCCCTACCACCCCTCCCCAGCCTCCTGACCCCTCTCAGCCCCCTCCAGGGCCAATGCAGCACTAAATTCTTCTCTCACCCACCATTCCTGTGTCTGTCTGGCCCTGAATGTATCTGTGTGGCTACTCTGAGATTAAACCTATGGTTTAATCCCTTCTCTAGTCACCCTCCTTCCATCTCTTCTTCCTGATAGAGAGAAGAAAGAGGAAGGTGGACAGAGATCCTGGGATTCTGACTTGCTGCTATACCAGAGCCCAAGCTTCTGGGTGCCCCCAGCCCTTGTTTTTCCTCGTGATATCAATATTCCCCTCTCTAGGGATCTAGGCATCTAGGTCCCATTTTCTTTATCCTTTGTTCTCACTGCCAAAAGCCTGTCCTGGGATCCAGTTATCATGGCCCCCGCACTCTCTACTTGAGTTTCAAATGTTTAAATTGGGTTTCCAGCAGCCCCAACTTTCACTGCCATGATCCCAGTCAGATTCAAGGCATTTTTGCCCAAGTTATGCTCATTTATCCTGGCTAGAGCTTTTTCACTGGTGTATTTCTACAATCCTAATGCCAATCCTTGCCTGTTGGATGTGAGGTTTTATAGGAAACCTTAGGGCTTCCAGCCCTACTTCTCCCCTTTTGCCCACCCCTCAAGCCTTCTAGAGAAGTTAAGAGAGGGGGAGAGAGAGATCTTTGTCATTCTCACCTGTAATGGAAGACAGAATAAGAAATTGTCTTCTCTCTCCCCACCTTCTCAATTGATATATACAGACAAAGCTTACTTTGAGACTGGTCAGTTAAAGCCAAATGTCTTAGACAATTGTCTTCCAGCTCCTGGAACGAATACAACATACTCTAAGGGACTCAGAACGGAAGGAAGCGAGGAGCAGAGAGATGGGGCTGCACTCCTTACAATCTTGCTTCTTTAATGTCTCTGCCAACCCAGATGCCCAGTTCTGTTGGCCCTCTCCATCTTTTGGCGGGATCTGGGTTATCTCTCATTCCCCATGCCTCCTAACATGCACGGTTGCAGAGATCAGTCAAATCAATACCACCACGGAAATCTCCTTTATTGCCACAGATGCACAAAATAAATAACCCAACATCACAAAATGTGTTAAATATGGGCCCATTTATACATATGGGGTAAGAGGTGAGCCTATATACTATACTGGTCGAGTGTTGGAATGTCTGGGCCATTCCCAGGTAGAGGAGAGGTAGCACCATTGGTTCCATTGTGTGAGTATGTGGAGGGAGAAGTCTTAATGGAGAAAGACTGTGAACATGAAAAGCAGTCATGGGTAGAGAACTGGCCCACCAAAAACAGGATGGAGGAGGGGTGTTGAGGGGGCATAGCTGTAAGTTTTCTCGAGGCCCAGGCCATTGTTGGGTATCCTGATTTTCTGGAGTAGGCTCTTTCCTAGGAGTCTTCAAACTGCACATAGGAAGGAAGCTCAAGCCTCAGAGTTACAGAGAAGGCGCTAGGTCATTTTGTGGAGTGGAATGTTAATCTGACTAGGGCATTTGTGTGATAAACATTTATCAGTATTGATGGAGCAGGCTTTGCTCCCTAATTCAGACCAAGACAGTGGAGAAATCAGTGAGGGAGAACTAGGATATCAATGGAGGAGAAGAGTCCCAAGAGGTAGAGGCAGGAGTGGAATCGTCTTTTGAGTTTGGGTGTAGAAATCAGTTGATGTCTTATTTGGGGAAATAGAGGCAATGTAAGAGAAGGGAGAACCTCAGTGCTTCATCACTGAGCATGTAGACATTGTCCCTATAATGAGCCCAGATTTCCCTACTTTAGCAGCAGCCTCTGGGCCCTAGTGGGTGGACACTCAGCCCTCAGCTGGCACGATGCGGAGTGGAGCACGGGGGTCCCGCGTGCAGAGCAGTGGAAAGATGCGCTCCCCCAGGGGACCAGGCGCCTGGAAGGCAAAGAGCAGGTCAAGCGAACGGCCATCATAGAAGGCCACACGGCCGCGCTCCCAGTCCAAGTCCACACGAATGCGCCGTGGTGGAGGCCCAGTGCCGCCCAGCAGGGTGGGCTCTGGGGCCGTGAGAGCCCACAGGCGGCCTCCGCGGCCTTCCACAGCCCACACGGCCCCAGCGGGGCACAATCCTACTCGGCCTTTGCGTCGGACTGACTCCCCAGCCGCGCCCACAGCGTAGCTGCTCTCCCCGTTGTCCTCATCTTCCCCAGAAGAGTCCCCGAAGGAAGCGGTGTCCACAGTCTCTACCTCCCAGCAGTGGCGGCCGGCGCCAAACCCCTGTGCACCTAGCACCGCAGGGAGCTGGTCGAAGCGTGCCGGGCCATCAGGGGGCGAGGGAGTCCCTGGTGGGGCCAGTCGGACACTGCGGCAGTCAGAGGAAATGAGGAGACGGCGATGCGCAGTGCGCGGGTCCAGGGTCAGGTCGGCTGGAAAGGAAAAGCCAGAGAGTGGACTGATGAGAGGGTCAGAGAATTCTGGGTGCTGTTAGAAGCCCTCAAAACTCTAGGTAGCTGCAGAACCAAAGAGGGCAAAGGTGTATAAAAATCAGGCCTCGACAGGCCTGAGCACTGATGTGCCACCTACCCCTGTGGAATTGAACTGGGAACTGCCCACCACCCCCACCCCACCACAGGAGAGGGAGATGAAAGGAGAGTGTGCCTGGTTTGTGGAGTAAGAGGGAGAGTGAGACAGAACTGACTTCTAGAGAGGAGTTCACAGAGACACCTAGCCAGTGACAGCTAGGGTGTGGTATAGGAGCTGGGTCAGCTGGATGGGGAAGCTGGCTCCAAAGAGAAAGACTGATAGCTGATACCGGAACTACAAGTGACAGAGGGGAGGGACAAGAAGAATCTGAAGTATCCTGAGAAACCAGCCCACCTACCCACAGAAATAGGTGGGGGTGGAAAGGCCTATTTCTATAAGGAGGGTGCGGCAAAAAAGAGAAGCTAGAGACCAGAGCAATAACTGTTGATTTATATATACAGGGAGTGCTTTGAAGAAAGATTTCTAAAGTGGAATTGCGTTGAGTCAGATGGTAGGTGACCAAGAGGTTAGGCATCTTTTCTAGGCAGTTTGAAGAAAGGGGTGGGCAGCTCTGGGTGTGAATGAAGCAGGAATTCTTGGTACCCTAGAAACTACAGAGAAGGTCCAGAGTCCTGAGCCAAGAGACAGTCCTGGAACCCTTTTGGAGAGAAGTGATGGAAGGTAGCGCAACAGAAATGCCTGAGTGGCAGCTGACCTCCAGGGGTCTGTGAATATATGTAATGGGCAGTAGACAAATGCCTGGGAGATAAGGAATTAAGGATAGATATCACCTTTGGAAAATAAAAAAGACTCATTCCATCATCTTCCTTCTTCCTTCCTTACCAGTCAGTCTGTGAAGCATGTTTTTGACCACTGGATAATCTTCAGGGAGGTCCTCCTCTAAATTAGGTGACTTGGGCATTGGGGCATCAAATCTAAACAGACAAGGGAACAGGATCAGGAAATTGGTAGACACTTCTGCCCTGTGGTACCCCACCACTATCCTGTTCACATCTCGAAAACAGGAAAAGGTGAGGTTATACCCAGAAAACCAACCTCTGGGTGGGGTCACAAGGGTGTACACAGGGTCCCAGTGGGAAGAGCTAATGGGTACAGTGACAGTGAAAAGGAATAAACAGTAAAAGGAACTCACCGTCTCCATGTCTTCCTCATATCCTGGGGCAGGAAGAAGAAAATGTGCATATGAGCTGTGGGCTTTGTACTGTGAGACCCCTGTCACTCCTCCCCTCCTCCTCAGGTGTGAGTTGGTGATGCCTCCCATCCCCACCTCTCAAGAGTGATCAATATCACCTCTTCATCCTTTGTGTCCCTTTCCTGTCATTCTCCCCCTTCTCCTTTTGTTGGTTCTCTCACTCTACCACTACTTTGTCTTCATTCTTATTCTACTTCTCTGTCCTCTTCTCCCAGAACGGTCCTTATAGTTTCTGCTGACTGCTGCTTCCTCAAGCCCTCTTTCTTTCAGTGGCTCTTCCCACTTTTCTTGAGTTTATCCCAGTCATCTACCTCCCCCCATCACACACCCCAAACGTATATTCAAAGCCCTTAAACCAAACTGGCCAAAGAGTTGGTATATAAAAGCCTTATAATAAAGCTGCTTCCCCCTCTTGCCATAAAAGCCTAATAAATAGCATTTATTAGCTCTTTGTTTTGTTTTCTACTCTGACAAGGTAGGCTTGATGTGTCCAAAAGAGGCTGAACAGATCTGCTGGGTACCTTGAGAATCAAGAGGGCAGAGTTTTCCCACTCAATTGTAATACTAGGGACCCCACTCCTATTGCTGTCCAGTGGCAGTGGGGATGGCAAAATCCAAAATTGGACCATTTTGGTGGAGATGAGAGAAGAAAGACAATTTGCCTAATCAAGCCAATTATACCTAGACTAATTAGGTCTGTGAAGGCTTCAAAGGGAGGAAGCTAGGGCTGTTGGGGAGAAGCCACTAGGAAATCCGGATGCCTGGGGATCGGTCAAGCTTGAGCTTGGTTAACAGCTGGATCTGGGACATAGGAGGAGGAGTGTACAGGTGGGCAAGTGAGTGGGTGCCAGGTCTGGCATGTAGAGAGGAGCCAGGGGTGCTGACAGCTGCTAGCCTCTCTCCAGGACCTGACTTCTCACTGCCGCCCCTGCCTGGGGCCCTGGGAGGAACCAAGGACAACAATAATAAACATCACTCAGCTCTGCTTGGTCAACTCACAGACCAGCACCAGGAGGCAACCTGGGCAGGTGGTACAACTTCCCCCTACACACCCAACTCTCCTAACAGCCTTTTTTCTGCTCTCCATTCCAGCTTCTCCTGAGCCTCCCTGACCCTCTTAAGGTTCACTCCAGCCAGAGTCAGCTCTCAGCCTCCTGCCTACTAGTGTAGCCTTCGCCACCAACACTTCTCCTTCAAGGGGCAAGTGGTTCCTGATTTTCTCTTCAAGGTCTGAGCAACCTCGAAGCTCCCTCTCCAGGTTCTTTTTAGTTCCTCTGACATGACTTAGGCATTCATCCTCTGGCCAACTATCATCTCCTTCCCACTGTCCTTCATTCAGTCTCTTGGGACTGCTCAACTCAGAGTCAGCCCCAATTCTCCATCCTTTGCCTCTCTTTTTCCCCAGTCCAGCTCTTGTCTAATATGTAAGGGCTCTGGCTTTGGGGGTGCCATTGCCTGCTTCCCTAAGGATCCCAGTGGCTTCTCCCCTCTCCATCCTCAGTTTGGGCCCGCAAAAGCGCACCCCACCTCACCTCTTCCTGTGGATCCAGGCAGCCCATAGTGGGGATGCGGCCCCCACGGCGTCTGAGGGTGCGGGCCCCAGGCTCAGCCAGCTTCTCGCGCAGCCCACGGCTGATTCGCACCTCCACCGCCAGCCGCACGTTAGACCTCAGGCTGCGGCGGGGACATGGCTGGCCACAGCACGGGCAGGTGGGGGGGCTCGCCTCAGTGCCCGCCGCCGGCGGGGCCCCCCAGTGGCGGGCCAGGCACGCGCGGCAGAAGCTGTGCTCACACGCCAGGAGCACCGGGTCCTCGAAGGGGCCCCCGCACAGCGGACACGTTGCCAGCTGCTCCAGACGCTCCACCAGCCCCGGGCCCAGCTCAGGCGCCTCCATGGGAAGCCCGGGTCTGGGAGCCACCTCTTCCGCGACCACTGCAGCCCCCTTCGAGTGTGCAGATGGCGACCTGGCCTTGCTGCTTGCTGACTTGATGGGCCTCTCTCCGTATCCCGCATTAACTTTCTGCGCCTTTGATGCCCCTGTTCTGTGATTGCCTTTCTCTTCTCCCCAGTCCTCAGTATCCAGTGTTCGTCAATCTCCCCACCTCATCAGCCTTTATAGGGAGGGAGGAGGCCCCCGCGGGAGGTAAACATCAGGCCCTTGCGTAACACCTCATCTGGTTCTCCCGCTTCTTGCTTCTTGAGGAAGGTTTGGGGGAGGGGCTGGGGAGACCTGGACACCTAGGTCATGAGGCGCGGAGGTGGTCAGTAGGGGGCGCTCTGCAAGCAAGGTCGTAATGGGAGGAAGGTATTGACCCCCCCAAGGGTCCAAATCTCCCCCTTGGCCCATGGTGTGCAATGGGCAGGGTGCCCGCACTCGCTTTTGGCATATGTACCCACATCGCCTGGGTGTGAGTCATTCCAGGTGGCTGGCACACCTACATCTGGGGGCCGGAAGCATAGATCCTGGTTTGTGCGGCTTTGGCAAGCCTCTGGGTGTTGCTGTGTGGCTGTCATTCTTCAGTACCTCTCTCTTCTCCTTTTGCCTTACCTATTTTGGTCTTAAGGACAGGGTGAAGCTTGGTGGGGGGGGGCGGGGGGGCAGTGGGAGGAGGCAAGGAGGCATCCACACCTGAGACTCTAGGAGTCAGGGTCGGGCTGGGTTTCACAGCTCTGCCTCCCTACTTGGAGTTACTTTCTTCCTATGTTCCTCTTTTGGACTCTTTATTTTTCCCCTTGAGTATTTTTGTTTTCACTTTTCTGCTTCCTTCCGTCCTTCTTTGGAATGGATGTAAGGGATTATCTATTTACTTCATTCACTGAGGCCCAGATTCGTCATTGCCCAAAACTACAATGTAAGAGAACAGGAAAAGGGGAACCATAACCCATCTTTAGACTGTGCTTTTTCTGTGAACTGAGCCTACTTCTTCTTCACTCCAGATACCTGGAACTCCTGCTTTCATTTCTGGTTTTATCCTGTGTCCTCTTCCCGCGCCTCCATCTCTATATTTTTCTCATCCTGGTGATTCCTCTTTCCTCCCCAATGTTCCTCACTCCTCAGCTTCTCTCACAATAGACCTTTCCATCTATTCTCCCTGGGGGGGGGGGTGTTTAAGTAAACATCCAGGTGTTTACAACTGTGAGCACACACAGCTGTACAAATATGCATGTATATTACCAATGCACAAAATGCCCAAATGTGCACAAACTTAAGGACAGATACAGACATATAATGCATACATCACAGATAAGCCCCAATAGTCTCATTTATAAATGTCACTAGGTTGGAAACTTAGGGTTATTTAGGGGCAAATGGACAAACTCAAAGAAAACACACAAAGAGACACAGTCATTAGTTTTACTATCAACAAGAACAACAGTACAACAACAATAAGTCTTTATGGTGCAGCAGTGCTTTATTGGGTTCCCCCTCCAGGCATCTTTCCCTCCCCCATACTTACCAGGAAGACACTCAAATATGACACCCTGATAAACAAGCCTGCACAAACAAGCACAAGTATACTCATCTTGGAGCAAATCTTCCAACTCAGTGTTCATACCTGAACAAAAGACAATAGGTTGTGACTTATAACAACATTTTCTGTGTTATGATAGATAAAATAATGATCTCTCATAGATGTCCACAAATATTTTTATTAATATTATATGATAATTTCCACTTTCTATCAGAGCACCTTTGTTTGGAGATAGGAACATATATGGATCTCTTTCAGTCAGTTTGCCAAGTAGCTGTCTTCCAGATTTCTTGCCATAGACCAGTGAGCATGTTAAGGGCTACATCTGTTTGCTGAAGCACCTCACTTGATATTCAGTCAATTCCTGGAACTATGTTTTTGCTGATGTTTTCAATGCAGATTGAACTTTTTCCTACAGTATCTTTCGTTCTGAATCATTTGCTACTTTCTGAAATGGTTCTGTGTTAAACAATTCTTTTTGGTACAGTGATTCTGTATATTCCTTCAAACTTATTTTTTTTATAAATTGTGATTTGAGTGAAAGCTTACAAAGTATATTGGGGTTTTGTTCTTTTTTCAACCAATCATTCATGTTTATTTTTTATTTCTGTTCCTTAACATCAATTACAATATGCATAATATCTGATTGTTCATTCATTTCTTATTGCCCTTCCTGTCACTCATCTTAATAATTAGCCATTATTTATTAATTCCCTACAACCCTCCTTTTCCCCCTCCTTGGTAACCACACTAAATTGCTTCTCTCTGTAGTTCTCTTTCTAGTAGGGATGTGTCCTATCTCCATACCTTTTCAATCTATATGCAGAACAGATTATCCAGGAGGCTGGGCTCTATGAGGAGAAATGTAGCATCAGGATTGGAAGAAGATTCATCAACAATATGCATTATGCAGATGACACACCCTGCTTGCTGAAACTGAAGAGGATCTGAAGCACTTGCTGCAGAAGGTTAAGGACTGCAGCCTTTAATATGGATTGAAGCTCAATATCAAGAAACAAAGATTCTCACCACTGGGCTGATTGGAGGCATCATGATGATCAAGAGATTGAGACTGTTAACAGCTTTCGTTTGCTTGGCTCCACATTCAACACTCTTGGCACCAGCAGCCAGGAAATAGAGACCACACCAAAGTACTGTGCAACTATGTCAGTCTGGAGACTAAGGTGTGCCAGATACAGGCCATGGTCTTTGCAATCATTTGCTGTGTGTCAGAGAGCTGGACAATGACTAGGGAGGATAGAAGGATAATTGATGCCTTTGAGCTGTGGTATTGGAAAAGAGTGTTGAATATACCATGGACTGATAAGAGAATGAACAGGTTCATCCTACAGAGGGTTAAACCAGGCTGCTCCTTGGAGGCAAGGATTCTGAAGCTTTGTCTGACATACGTTGGATATGTTGCAAGGAGGGACCAATTCTTGGAGAAGGACGTCATGCTTGGGAGGGTGGAGGGACAGTGCAGATGAGGAAAGCCCTCTATGAAATGGATTGATTCAGTGACGGGTACTGGGGGTAGGTGTGTCAAGACAGTGAGATTGGCACAGGACAGAGCAGAGTTTAGGGCTGTTGTACATAGGGTCACTATGAGTCACCGGCGACTCAACGGCACATAACAACAACAGTTTTAAATAATATTTGTTCTTTTGTGACTGACTTATTTCCCTCAGCATAATGTCCTGTAGGCTTATCCATATTGTGTAGTTATTTCCCAAACTCATCATTGATTGTTAATGTTACATGGTACTCCACTAGGTAAATATACCATAGTTTGTTTAATCGTCTGTTCATTAATGGACACTTGGGTTGTTTCCCTCTCTTAGCTGTTGGGAATTATAATGCTGCAGTAAACATAGATGTTCATGTATTTGTTCATGTTGCAGCCCTTATTTCTTTAGGGTATATACCTACTGGAATAGCTAGATCAAATGGTACTTCTTTTTTCAACTTTTTGAGGAAATACCAAACCACTTTTCATAGTGGTTGCTCCATTTTACATTCCCACCAGCAGTGTATTAACATTTCAGTCTCACCACACCCTTGCAGCATTTGTTGTTTACTGCCTTTTGAACTTTGCTATTGTTGCTGGAGTGAGATGTTATCTAATTGTTGGGGTTTTTTGCACCTAATAGCTAGTGATCTCAGGAATTTCTTCATGTGTTTGTTGGCCTTTTGGATATCTCCTTTGGTGAAGAATCTTTTCAAATGTTCTATCCATTTTATAATTCAATTATAATCCTGGCATCAGGATTGGAGGTAGTCTCATCAGCATTATGCAGATGACACAAACCTGCTTGCTGAAACTGAGGAGGACCTGAAGCGCTTGCTGCAGAAGGTCAAGGACTGAAGCCTTCAATATGGATTGAAGTTCAACATCAAGAAAACAAAGATTCTTGCCACTGGGCCAATTGGCAGCATCATGATAGATGGTGAAGAGATTGAGATTGTTGACAGCTTCGCTTTGCTTGGCTCTACAATCAACACTCTTGGTACCAGCAGCCAGGAAATTAAAAGATGAATTGCATTAGGAAAGTCTGCTGTTCAGAGACCTCTCCAAGGTAGTGAGGAGCAACAATATCAGTCTGGAGGCTAAGCTGTGCCTAATACAGGCCATTGTCTTTGCCATTACTTGCTATGCATCAGAGAGCTGGACAATGACTAGGGATGATAGAAGGAGAGTTGATGCCTTTGAGCTTTGGTGCTGGAGAGGAGTATTGAATATACCATGGACTGCTAGGAGAACAAACGAGTTTGTCTTGGAGAGGGTGAAGCCAGGCTGCTCCTTGGAGACAAGGGTTCTGAAGCTCTGTCTGAAATACTTTGGACATGTTGCAAGGCCGGATTCGTCCCTGGAGAGGAACATCATGCTTGGGAGGGTGGAGGGACAGCACAGCACAAGAAAGGAAGACCCTTGATGAAATGGATTGATTCGGAGACTGGGGTAATGGGGATAGGTGTGTCAGAGACAATAAGGTTTGCAAGAGATAGAGCAGGGTTTGGGGCTATGAGTTGCAAGTGACTTGATGGCACATAACAACAACAACAACAAAATTTATGGCATAAAGTAGGGCTTCTAAATTTGTCCCTATTTTGTTTTCTTTGATGATCTTTATAGTTTTCTGTTTTACTCCTAGATTTTTCCATCTGCCTTGAGTTAATTTTGTATATGGTGTGAATTAATGATCCATCCCTCTTCCCATCTTTGTTTAATACTTCCTTCATCATTCACCATTTTACCTGTTAAATCTTTCAACACTACAACTTGAGGCTTGAACTTGTTCTTCAATTCTTTCAGCTTGAGAAATGCCAAGTGTGTTCTTCACTTTGGTTTTCTGACTCCAGACCTATGAACATATTGCTATAATACTTTGTCTTCTTGAGCTGCCCTTTAAAATCTTCTGTTTATCTCTCTTATATCATCATTTCTTCCCTTTGCTTTGACTTCTCTACATTCAATAACAAGTTACAGAGTCACTTCTTTTTTTTTAGTACATGTGTTACTGAAGCAAGCACTCAAAATCACTTCTGACGT